TTTATTTCTCTGGTGTGGGGCTGCATTTCTTCAGGCACCAACAGGTCAGGGAGCGAAGTGTGAGAACTTGGAGGGCTGCGGAGCCCCCCGCAGGGATAAAGCCCGAGCTCTGCCACTCCCTCCTGTACAGGATGAACCTGTGGGGTGACTGCACTGGGGCAGTATAATCAACTACTGAAGTTTTCAGATAGTAACTTACTCTTTTCCTAGTGCTTATCTTTTTTTCAAACGATGCAGTAAAGTCTTGAAAAGGTATTTCGGATGCCAGCCACTGCTTAACCATGTTGGGCCTGTCACGGGCTGGCTAAAAGCTCATGTTTCCATCTTTCACTTCTTCTACAGATGAAAACCCTCAAATCTCAGGCTTTCTTCCTTCCAAACATTTATAATCATTTACTAAATATGACTTGGCCAAAAGGCCTGGCACCAGTCGGGCACGGTGGTGCATACCTTTGCCTTTAATCCCAGCACTCAGGAGGCAGAGACAGGTAGATCTCTGTCATCAAGGACAACCTGGTCTACATGGAGAGTTCTAGGCCAGTTGCAGCTACAGGGAGACCCTGTCTCAAAAAGACAAAAAAAAAAAAAAAAAAAAAAAAAAAAAAAAAAAAGGCTGGCACATTAGTAAGCATTTTTAGGCTTACACCACTGTTTATTTTTATTTTAATTCACACTAATATTGAATTGCCACTAACACCCAAGATAATGAATCACAAAAATCACAAAATTGACCAGTCAACAAGGTCCCTCCTAGATTCATTCAGCTGGTCAGTGGGCTCCAGAGACCTTCTGTGGATGAGTTCAGAGGTGAACTCCCAGGGGCTCCTCCCACCTGTTCACCGGTCCTCTGGTGTTGCTAACTTACAGACCAGAGCCCAGCAAAGTTGAACTGGGACTAGATTGAAAAGGAAAAGTATTTTCAGAATTGCCACCTGATTTAGCCAAATCATTGTTTTGATTTTCACAGTAAACCCAACAATTTCTGTTTTCTGAAAAGTGTGTTTTAACGCGAAGAAGTTCAGCTCAGTCCAAGCATCTCTGCACTTTCTGTTTCCCTGATACTGGGTCTTCAGGTGACCGGATGGGTTAATGACAGAGCCCAGCAGAATTCCGCATCTATTCACTCCAGCAAGTGCTTTCTGATCACCTAGTATCCAGAATCACAGTCCGGCCAGGGAGGGAGAGAGGTGTCTGTCCAGGTGCTGAGCGGCTATGCCAAATGGGGTCCCACCTAGCAGGCCAGTTGCAGGCCACAGGCAGCTGTGTGGGTTCCCAAGGGGCCCACGCCCTGCCAAAAAAACCTTCTCAGTTCCCACTGGAGTCGCGTGCCAGTGCGTCCTGGACAGCTGCACTGCGGCTGCGCCTGCTGGACCCAGCACTCCCGTAACTTCTGAGCCCAGACCCAGAGTTTGGGACTTGGATGGAATGAAGTTGCGGGGGCGCCTGGCCGGGAGAGAATCCAGGCTCTCCATCGGGTCCGAAACCTGACCAGCGCAGCGGACGCACGGTTACTCACCTGCGGTTCCTGAGCACCGAGAGGATGACGAGGAGGTTGCCCAGGACGTCCACCGCGGTGGTGACGGTGAGCACGGTGGGGAGTGCGGGAGCCACCCAGGGGGCCCGGGCGTCCCGGAGGGCATCGCGCCCCTCGCCCAGGACCAGCCCGGGCGCACCTCCAGCCCGCAGGCCACCACGCCTCTGCCTGGGATGGATGCGCCAGGCGCGCAGTGCTGCGGGGCGCTCGGACCCCTTCCTTGCCCAGCCGAGCGCCAGAAGACGCAGTGCGGAGGGACCGGAGGAACAGAGGATCCAGACTAGGACCGGGGCGCAGGTGATGCAAAAGGAATGCGTCCCTCAGCAGCTTGCCCAGGAACAGCCGGACACTACCGCTCACTACCGCGCTGCCACAGGGGCCAGCTGGGGTCTGGGCCACCTCAGGCCTCCTAGCCCGGGTGGCCCGGGTCTCTGAGAACCAGGCCACACCCCTTATTTCCGTCACAACCTGGAGAAGCTGTGTCCATTTGGGCATCCCCTGCTTTACAAGAGCCGATCGGGCTGGTGGTTCGAGCCCAGCTGGTCCACTGTCAGAAAGGTTAGGATCGACACAGCCCTCCTCAGGTGGATGACTCAGTGGCTCCTGGGGTGTGCGGACCAGTCCCAGAACAAAGAAGCCAGAAGTGTTGAACTCTGGGAGGTTGCAGGAAAGGCCACCCTGTGCTGTAGGTCAGGCTCCCGTGTGTGCCAAGAAAGGGGGTGGCAGCTTTGTGATGCCAAGACTTAGATTTGTGGATATGTGTGTAAGCACGAGGCTTAAAAAGGTGCATGATTCATGTAGTGGAAGGGTTTGGCCAAGAACAGAGCCGTGTGTGCACAGGAGAGAAGGATGTGGAGGCTCAGCGCTCACAGTATGACCCACAGCAGCAGCTGCCCTTGTTTGTGTCTGGTTGGACAGCCCCGCCCAGTGTTTACTCCAACTAGATCCACTAACACTGAGTGACTGACAGGCCAGAGTTTGTCACAGGGAGGAAGCAAAAGGAATTCTCTCACTCTACTCTTAGGGGGAAGGTCTAAAAGAGATGCCTGCTTATACAGCTAAGCCCATGCTTACCCAGCCTAGGGAGTTCAAGGAGAAACAGACCCCAAATGGAAGTCAGCAAGAAAAGGAAAGTCTAGCTCTGCAAAAGCATATACCCATTGTTCACAGTGGCATATACCCATTGTTCACAGAAGCATATACCCATTGTTCACAGCGGCATATACCCATTGTTCACAGCGGCGTATACCCATTGTTCACAGTGGCATTGTGTGTAGCAGCCCCAAACAGGAAACAACCCATGCCTCCACTGGGTGAATACATTACACACAATGGACCATTAGGGATAAAAACCCTGAGAGACACAACAGCATGGGTTAATCTAGAAAATGCTGTACAGAAACCAGAAGTATCATCCCAGTACTTGGGAAGCTGAAGCAGGAGGATTGCTGTGAGTTTGAGGTTAGACAGGGCTACATAGTGAGTTTCAGACAGCCTAGGCTACAGTCGCTCTCTCACAAACATGTATAGATAATATTTGTGTCTGGTTGGCCAGCCCTACCCAGTGTTCACACCCACTAGATCCACTAACACCAAGTGGCTGTATGTATACATACATAATGTATGTATGTATATATCCCGTGTATCCAGATACCAAAAAAGTATGAAAAAGTGTATTATAAATGATTCATTTTACACAAAGTCCAAATGGAGTTCATCCGTGGTGACAGAAATCAGAACAGTGTTTGCCAATGGAAATTTTGATATTTATCTGATAGTCCTAGGATATCAAATCTTATAATTGTAGGCAAGCATTCTACCACCAACTATACATCCCCAACCCTGGACTTTATGAAAATTAGATTCCACCCCAAAGTCAACAAAAGTCAGGACACAGTGAGGAGGGAGGAACTGATGGGGGTGGGTTCAAGACAGGAGGTGTGAAATGTCATCTCAGAAAGTGAGAAGTTTCTCTAGGATCACACAGCAGATAGATGTGTCAGGATAGTATGTCCCTGTGTACGACTTTATACAAAACCAGCTACTTGATGATGTCAATCAGCAAGTGGGAGCTGCCCAGGACAGGAGGAGAAGGTGGGACTGTCCAAAAACAGATATGGGAGGGCCCAGCCTACTGTGGGTGGTACCATCCCTGGGCATGTTGTTCTGTATAAGAAAGCAGGCTGAGCAGGGGCCAGGGGAGCAAGCCAGTAAGCAGTGTTCATCCATGGCCTGTGCTTCAGTTCCTGCCTCCAGGTTCCTGCCCTGAGTTCTTTCAGTGATGAACTATGACCTGGGAGATGTAAGCTGAATAAACTCTTTCCTCTCCAAGTTGGTTTTGGTCAGTGTCTCTATCACAGCCATAGAAAGTAACTAGGACAAAAAGGAAGAAGAATGAAAAGGGGGAGGAGGAGGGGGGGGAGGAGGAGGAGGAGGAAGAGGAGGAGGAAGAGGAAGAGGAGGAGGAGGATATGAAGAGGAGGGACATGAGAGGAAGGAGGAGGAAGGAGCAGAAGATAGAAACACAACAGGGCAGAGAGAGGGTCAAGGGGCTCATGGGAGGAAAGAACAGCCAGGGTTTCTTACATACACAGGTGCACAGTTGGATATGTTTCACCAGCCTTCGTAGAACCCAGCAAGTGGAAAACTGCCTAAACCGCCTCAGTTCAAACACACTCTAATAACCCACATTTGGCTAATGGGGTTTGAAGTGGAGGAATTGGCCCTGTGCTGTCCAGGAATGTAATCTTCCACCTTGCATGTACCCACAGTAGTGTGTGTTAAGTCTTGGAATTGAGAGTACTTGAAGTCAGTGCTGCATCTGGACACAGTTGGCCGTGCTGGGCCTTGAAGGGACAGGGCAACTATAAAGCCATTTTAAAAGTCAAAATGGAACATATTCATATGATTTAGCAATTTCTCTCTTTACCATTTACCTAAGTGTTTTGAAAACTTCTATCTATACAAAACCTGAATGCTGGTGTGGTGGCACACTCCTGCAATCCCGGCACTCAAAAGTGAGGGCAGAAAGGTAAGTTTTAGGCCAGCCTGGGCTACACAGTAAGTTCTGAACTGCCTTGGACTGTATAGTAAGACTTTGCCTCAAAAATAAAACCAAATACACCTGTGAGTGCAATCAGGGCCTGGGCTGGAGAAGTGGGGTGAGACCTGGCCAGGAAGCTCTCCAGAGCCCAGTAAACCAAGTAAACCAAAACTCTTTCATCTGCCTGTAGATGTTACAGCAAATTCATTCACAATGCCCAAACTTGGAAACGATCAAGATGTCCTTGGGAGGTGAACAGATAAATGTCATATCCAGATGACAGAATGCTGTTTCTAAAATGAAATGAGCTGGGGTGTGTTGGATGTCATAGTGACAAAGACAGCCTAACTCTTGGAGTTGTTTAGACAGGAATGAGCCTGATCGGTTCTCAGAATAGTTCTTTCTGATTTCTCTTGGAACTGTTCCTCCAGTCGAGGGCGTACTCTCTTTATTCCGAGGGTGTACTCTGTGTAAACAGTATGCCCGGAATGATACAGAAAAGCAGTGAGGAACCTTGTCTAATCAAAGAAGAATCTTCCCCTTTTCACCCCCTCTGACCCAGAACAGCAGACAGACAGAGCCACCAACACCAGATGTTATCAAGCCTACCTGCTGTTTGCAACAGAAACTGTGCATAGTTTACCGTTTCCAAGTTCACTCCTTCCAGCGCTGATATTTTCACAACACACACACACACACACACACACACACACACACACACGCACACACACACACACATTATTCTGGGTTAGGGCAAGGAAGGATCATGAGGAAGAAACTTGTATAGTTTACCGTTTCCAAGTTCACTCCTTCCAGCGCTGATATTTTCACAACACATACACACACACACACACACACACACACACACACACGCACACACACACATTATTCTGGGTCAGGGCAAGGAAGGATCATGAGGAAGAAATAAGGAACATACTTTAAGATTATAGCTATGTGCTTTAAGTAGCTTGTAAAAGTTGATTTACAAGAAGAGCCCAAGACCTGTTAAGATTGCCTACATTGTTTTCCCAGAGAAAATGTATTCAGGCTGGTGCTGAAGAAACAGCTGTAGTTGACAGGCGTCAGCACCACTGTGGGAAAACTTCCTGCACTGTGCTAGAGAAAGGGGGACTGTGTCCTGAGGAAAGCCATCTGGAGGAGGGTCCTTGTTGTGGGATCTGAATTCATTTAAAGCGGGGGAGACTAAGCTGAAGGAATGTCAGGCTCCTCAGAAGCAAATGCCTAGGAACGTGTTTCCTCAGGTTTAGCATACGAAAGCTGAAACAGCTGTGGTCCGACAGGTCTGGGCTACACCTTGAGCTAGCAGCAGAATTGGCGGTGTCCTAAATGTCATCTGGTGGTACTGGCTTCGAAGCCAGGAAAGACGGAGGATTGAGGAGGTCATGGAGAGCAGGTGAGGCTAAGCAGTGAGTGGTGGGATTGGAGTTCCTGGAAAGGTCCTGGGAGGCCATTGCATGAAGCTGGGAAGGGGAAGCCTCAGTTGCAAAGGAAACCCTAGGGTGTTGGCGATGCCAGGACCATGGGACACAATCCAGGTGTGGAGTGGGGCCATTCCAAGCCTAGGAAGAATGTGTGCGGCAGGTGGCAGAGCTCGAGGGTGGGGCTGCCCAAGACCACTGGAGTCCAGTCATTACATCATGACCCTCCAATGTTGGGCATGGAGCTGCAGGATTCGGTCTTTCCTTGCTAGATTCGGTTTTGCTCTGACGTGATTGTTTTATGACCCAGTTCTTCCCTTTTGGAGTAAGAAAGCTTATTCTGTGTCATTGCACACTGGAAGCACACGGCTTTTGTCTGGTTTCATAGGAGCTCACAGTTAAGAGACTTTGGACTTTTAATGTGTTGGCCTTTTTAAAGACTATGAGGACTTTTAAATGTGAACCGTATTTTACATTATGAGATTAACATGCGGTTTTGAAGATGAGAAGTTGAAGGTTATGTCTTAAGGTGGAGCGTTTGTATATCAAGTTAGCTAGGGTTGGAATTGTGACGGTTGGTTTTCACTGCCAAGTGACAATCCAGGACCACCTGGGGAGAGTCTCAGTGAGAGTCTCTAGATTGTTGGCCTGTGGGTGTGTCTGTGGGGGACAGTCTTGATTATGTTATTTAAGGTGCGAAGACGTGCCCACCATGGGTGACACCCTTCCCTAGGTGGGATTCCTGAACTAGGTAAGAGTGGGCAGAGCGAGCCGACACAAGCACGCACACGTTCATTCTCTCTCTTCTCGATTGTGGAGTGACTCACTGTGTCAGGGCCCTGTCCTGTGACCTGCTTGCAGCAATGAACTGTGACCTGGAGCTATGAGCTAAAATGAGTTTCTTTGGTTCAGGTGTTTTATCACAGCAACAGAAGGAAACGAACACATACAGCATTGCCACCCACTGGACCACCTGGGCATTCTTCCCACCATTTCTCAGCACATGCCCCTGG